AATGGTTTATGGTAATGGCTTAAGACGCGATAGTTTAATTCTGCGCCAAGTTGTTGTCTTTCTTCCCGGAAACTGTGACATAATTCTTGCAGTTTTTGCATTTTTAAAAGGATTCCCTTCTAATATCTCCAAAAGCGTACGATCTTCATATGCGGTAAATATTTTTGGTCTTTCAGAGCCTTGCTTTCTTTCGAGAGTTTTTTGTCATCTCCATCTTTTATTAATATTAAAAACTGTTGTTCTGCTTACGTTAAAATGGATCGCTACGGCAGATAGTGACCAACCATCTTCTAATATTATTATAATTCTTGCTTTTAGTTCTTTGCTAGCATGTGGAGCCATTTTTTGAGGTTGAACAGTTGAACCTAAGTTATCTGACAAATTTTAAGATTTAGCAGTGCCAGTAACAGTAGGTAAATGATAAATATATATCCTTCAAAATACACTGCTCAATTTTCTACAAAATACGCTTTAACAGGTTTTTTAGGAACCAGATGTACATAGCATTTGAATATTAAATCGTTATTAAATATTTGTATATTAGTTGGGTAATAGTCGATTTACAAAAGTGTCAGTGTAAGCTTAATTTATATATTTATTTAATCAAAAGCATAATTAAATATTTGGTATGTAAATAAATGAGATTAGGAAGGATCAGTGACGCATAAATTTTACTATTGTTCTAGTAAATTAATTTTACACTTCATTGTTTCAGGAAGCTATTGTACCAGCGTTTTCTGTATTTGACATACGCTTATCACAAAACTATGCTGACTTTTTGTATGTAGTTACTTTATCGTAAATTATACTTATAATTATTTGGACTATTTCGATGCTACTATCGCGAGTTCTTCAACCAAAAAGTTCTGCGACGACTTTTTCTTTCTCTTCTCCTTTCAGCGCCATGTGTCTTTTCAGACATGGTTCGAGACTTGGTAGGCTTAGTTCCAAAAATTGTTCTGTAGAAGGCTTTGGATCATAACAAGCTGTGGTGCCACTGATGATGATTTTGAATTATCTTCTTCTTCTTTGGGTGTCGTCTTCAATGAAGGTTGGCGATAACCTCAGCAAAATCATTTCTGTCCCTGGCTTTTCTTATTAAAGATTGAGAATCCAAACCAGTCCACTCACGAATGTTCTTCAACCAGGACGCCTGCCGTCTACCAGGACCACATTTTCCTTCTACCTTCCCCTCTATAAGAAGCTGCAGTAGCTGGTATTTCTCATTTCTGTATATGAGTCCCAAATATGAGGTTTTCCGTGTTTTCATTATTTTTAAGAGTTCTCTGTCGGTACCCATCTTGTGTAGGACCTGCTCGTTGCTCATATGCGCTGTCCAGGGGACTTTTAGCATCCTTCGAAAAAAACCACATTTCAAAACTTTCCAAACGCCTGAGTGAGTTAATTTTGAAGGTCCATTTTGGGTCCATTTTGAATTATATTGCTTTTTATTAAGATAATATTTTTGGGTTTAAGCCATATGTTTGTTACACTTTTTTTATGGAAAAATCCACAATAGTAGTAACAGCAATACTACGGTATCAAATGGATTGAAATCTAGTGGAAATTTTCCGTGTTTTTTAGCTCTAGGTGACCCGATATGCTGGAGTTTTGCCTAAAATTATCATACGCATCACGATGTCGCAAGATTTTTACATTTTCTTTAAGATCCGGTTATTTGGTTATTTAATTGTGTGTAAAAGATTATTGGGAATAAGACTAGTAGTAGAGAGAATAATAGGTATTTTCTGGGTACTTTCCAATCTCCATTGTCGGCTTATTTTTGTCTTAAGATCTCTATATTTTATATCTATATGTTCTTGTTGTAGTTATCATGACGATTTTAGTTGTTTTTACATCTGATCTGTTATTTGCCACTGGTTGATTTGTAAGCATAATCCGATCCCAGTATAAGTTGTAGTTGTCATTCTCAACCATAATATCAGAAATATATCGATAATAAGGAAGGTTATTAGCTTAGGGAAGTGTCTTAGCATTCTTTTGATGAAGGATCTTTCCTTTTCAGTCATGCTGTTTTTATATTCAGTTGCAGCAAATTCCTAGCAGCCAGCGGTAAGATCTATATCGGCATTTTGAAGCCAAAGAACTTTGACGATATATTTTACGTAATTTTTGATTGTGATTCTGATTGGCGTGTAAGAAACCTTCTGTTTCGGAAAACATCTTTCTTGTTGTCAAATAATAGTTCGACATGGTATTGTCGTCATAGTAATAGCTATTTTCATTGAGATGTCGCCCATGCACGTATTTAATCACCCAGATACTCAGTTTTTCTTCCTTAGAATGATGTTTTATGAGTATTTCCTTATACCCTAGTTCAAGAGCTCATCTATTGTGTAGATTTCAGAAGAAAATCTTTACTTTTATCAACTCATGAAATCCGAAGTATTCGTTTGTAGCACCACATCTTAAAAGTCGTAAAGTTTGTCATATGCCTTCGACAGACATTGCAGTAGCTGACATTTGATTGTTAAACGAAATTAATTCTTTTTAAGTTAGGCTAATCTTACCTTTGCTACCTATTGTTTTATCTCTACAAAATAGTCCTATGTACCCGGTGGTCCAATAAGCCGATCTCTCGGCTATATATCAGAAACTATTCATGTTATAACTTTAGGAAAAAAAATTCCTTAGTAAAAGTGGAGAAGAGAAATCGCTGGAAATAACTTTCAAGATTCTGGATTAACCGCTAGGGGGCGTAACCTGCGAAGAAAATTTTGAAAACCAGTTTTTTGGGAAATATGTCCAATAATACCAAGTGTTAAATAAGTAAACTAGAAAGGGGCATAAATTCTGCACAAAGTTGTTCAAGTACTTTTTTTTTATTTTTTCAAATAAAGGGTGGGGGAGAGTGGGAAAGTATTTGTGGATAAATACCTATAACTTTGGTTTGGTCACACACAAATTTGTGTTTCTTCAAAATTTTTAATGGAAACACCTATTTATTATAAATTATAATGGAACTGGAATAAATTCGTAACAAAATGGAGCAAACCGCATGGTATTAGCTTTTGTTGAACTCGAGATATGAATAAAAACTCATAAACATAAGTAAGTATAGTATTGACACACCCTGTATTATAAATTACATTAAAAAATAAGTCAGAAGGTATTTTCAAATTTTTTTATAGCAGAAGAATCTTAATGTTGATACCTATTTTGTAAAAATAGTTTTTTTGAAACTAAGTAGGCTACGACAATGAATTTGATTGTTCATACTGTTTATTTATTGACAGCAGTCAAAACATTGTTAAGAAGTGCTATATTATAATTCAAATTAAAGATTGCACTTTTTTCAATAGATATTAATATTGGTAATATTAGTAATTAATTATCAGTACAAATAATTCGTGATGAGTAGGTATATCAAATTGTATGATATGATTGGAGTTTATTCGAATGTCACCAAAATGCCGCTATTGCCACACGTATATATTTTGTAAGATATCGTGACAGGAGACATTATGGCAAAGAAGTATTTGAAAGAAGGGCAAAAAGATTAAGAGAAACTGGTAGTTTTTCTCGTCCTTGTTTTAAACGACGTAGTAGAGTTATGACCGAAGATAATTCAATCAATGTTCTTGCTTTAATTCAACAGAATCCACATATAAGTAGTCCGAAATCTCTACTTCTTTGCCACAATATCTCCTGCCAGGATATCTTACAGAATATATACGTGAGGCAATAGCGCCATTTTGATGATATTCGAAACAAACTCCAATCATATCATACAATTTGATATACTCATCACGAATTATTAGTACTGATAAATTAATTACTAATATTACCAATATTAATATCTATTGAAAAAAATGCAATTTTTAATTCGAATTATAATACATATAACACTTCTTAACAATATTTTGACTGCTGTCAATAAATAAACAATATGAACTCCCTGTCAAATTCATTGTCGTAGCCTACTTAGTTTCGAAAAAACAATTTATAATCATATGAAATAACAATGGTCAAAATAGGTATCAACATTAAGAGTTTTCTGCTATAAAAAATTTTGAAAGTACCTGCTGACTTATTTTTTAATTTATTTTATAATACAGGGTGTGTCAATACTATACTTATTTTTGTTTATGCGTTTTTATTCATATCTCGAGTTCGATAAAAGCTATTAACATGCGGTTAGCGCCATTTTGTTATGAATTTAATCCAGTTCCATTATAATTTACAATAAATAGGTGTTTCGATTAAAAATTTTGAAGAAAAACAAATTTTAATTTTTTCTATTCGAAAGTACCCTCTACCTATGGCAATTAAAACAAAATGCAATTATTTAATAGTAGATGTAAATTAATTCATCCATACTCTTTCTAATGACACTAATTTTGTTAAAATCGGTTGATCCAAACCAAAGTTATAGGTATTTATCCACAAATACTTTCCCACTCTCCCCCACCCTTTATTTGAAAAAATAAAAAAAGTACTTGAACAACTTTGTGCAGAATTTATTCCTTTTTCTAGTTTACTTATTTAACACTTGGTATAATTGGACATATTTCCCAAAAAACTGGTTTTCAAAATTTTCTTCGCAGGTTACGCCCCCTAGCGGTTAATCCAGAATCTTGAAAGTTATTTCCAGCGATTTCTCTTGGCCACTTTTACTAAGGATTTTTTTTTCCTAAAGTTATAACATGAATAGTTTCTGATATATAGCCGAGAGATCGGCTTATTGGACCACCCGGTACATTGATACCGTATTATGTATAGATTTTGGTTTTTTCGAGTTGTTAAGTGATGTTGAGTTGATTTTTCGATCTCCTACATTTTGGGAATCGGTCGCAAAATTTATATTTAATAAAATATTTTGTTATTTGGTAATTAAAAAATTATTCCAATTAATTTTATCTTGTTTATTTTATTCAGAGCCATGTTTCAAATTCTAAAGTATAATAGTTTAAATATTTATTTATTCGTGACAATATAAAACGATATTTAAAAATTAACAAACAACTGCTTACTTTTAGCCTATTCAAGTAAGAGAACATGATCCTTCAAAAACCAACAAAGTCGATCACGTCGGGGTATATACAGAAAATCCAGACAAAACCAAAGCAATTGTTGGGCAGGCCCAAGTACTGGAAATTAGCAGACGTGTAGCATGCGACATCGGTGATTCTGATCCAGAACGAATGACTCCAGCCAGAGCAGAAGAGTACGTAAGGACTCTATTCCAGGTAATGTCTGCCAGATATATTTTTTACCTTTTAATGGTGTGAAAGTTCAAAATGTCCTAAGTCCATGAAATGGTCTAACTCAGGAAGCATAGATTATTATAAAAAAACTATTTTAATGTAAATGTTAAGATTTTAAAAAGAGATCCAATTTTTTTTAAATTATATTGTCAATATTTATACAGATCTTGACCCTTTGAAAGTGGTAAAATTAAAATCACATGACCTGAACTTACGATGTTTTGTAAGAACAAGGTATTTCATGTGACTAATATTGAGGTCGTTAATTTAACATCTTTCAACTTCTCTTCCTTAATTAAATGGTCTAATGCTTCCCTGTTTGGATTAACAGATGACCATTTGACGAGGAGAACGAGGAAGCAGCCATGAGGATTCACGTGACTTCTATTCGTTATATTATTATAGATTGGTCAAGCGGATTTAAGACGCTTTGCAAATAAAATCAGTGAGTAGATGAGCCGTTCGGAAAATCACATCACAAGTAGCTCGAAAATCCGTTGTAGATCTTGGCCTGCTCACAAAGAAGTCGTCACCCCTGTTGATTCCTTGCAACTTCTCTTTATCTTCTGACCCTTAGAATCTGTAGATCTTCTTCGACGCCATAGCCCATTTTCATTAGGGTCCCAAAAATATTTCTAAGAATTTTTATCTCAAAAATGCCAAGAAGTCTTTTATCATTTTGAGGTAAGGTCCACGTTTCAGCCCCATATATCAAAATCGGTCTTATTAAGGTCTTGTATATATTGAAATTTACTGCACGGTTTGTATTTTTATTATTTAAATGTTCCTGGAGACCGTGAACAGTTCTGTTTGCTATTGCTATGCGTTTCATTTCGTCGCTTGTCGTGTTTGTTGCGTTTACTAGCGATCCAAGATACGTGAATTGTTTGACTGAAAGGTATGGTTGTTAATTTGAAATCTCTGTTGAATATTCCGGAGGTTTTTAAAAACCAACATTTATTTGGTTTTTCCCTCGTTTACCACAAGTCCTAATTCACTTGCCGCGTCCGCAAGCCTTGTAAAACACTGCACCATATCTCTCATACTTCTGCCCACTATGCCTATAGCATCAGCGAATGCGAGAATTTGCGTCGATTTATTAAAAATGCTTCAATTTATTCTAATATTTAATTTTCTGATTGCTTTTTCCAAGGCAATATTAAAGAGGAGACACGCCAGCGCATCCTCCTGTCTTAGATCATTATTAATGTCAAATAACGTAGAGTTTTCTCCTTCAATTCTAACGCATGAGCTTACGTTTGCATTGTTATTTGGGTCAACTTAACTAACTTATGTGGGATCCCAAAGTATATCATTGCATTATATAATGCAGTTCTTTTCACCTTGTCATAGGCTGCTTTGAGGTCGACGAAGAGATGGTGTATATCTATCTTATATTCCAGTGACTTTTCTAGAATCTGCCTATGTGCTTGAATTTGATGTGTAGTTGACTTTCCAGCAGTAAATCCGCATTGATATTGACCAACAATATTCTTTGTAAAATGTTTAAGTTTTTCAAACAATACATTGCCGAAGATTTTTTACGCAGATGCTAACAGAGTAATGCCTCTATAGTTCTTACAATCCAGTTGATCACCCTTACATGCATCGGATATATTATTCCCTTTAGCCACTCTTCTGATACCAGTTCATTCTGCCATATAAGTACTATTAGTTTATGGATTGCTGCAAAAAATTGATCACCACCTTTTTTATACATTTCCGAACAGAGCTCATCGTTTCCTGGTGCTTTATTGTCTTTGAGTTTTAGGATGGCATTTGACAGATCTTCTCCTGTTGGGCCTTCACTGTATACTTGACGTTGTATATTTTGTTGATTTTCTATGTTGTGTCCTCCTTTAATATCGTTTATGTTTAGATGTTACGTTTAGATAGGAAGGAGTATAGGAAGAAGGAAAGTCTCATGGTTGAAGAATTTAAGGGACTGGTTTAAATGCAGTTCTGTAGAACTCTTCAGAGCGACAGTAGATAGAGTAAAGATAGTGATGATGATACCCAACCTCCGATGAGGAGACGGCACTTAAAGAAGAAGGTTGATGGGAACAGGAATGGTTGGGGACGTCGAATTGCGTGGGGAAAAGATAAGATGCGCCCTTCTCCCTTGTCGTTTCCTCACTACTAAGGATCGTATACTCCTAAGAAATTTCCTCCATTGATCTTTAGCTGGTCTAAGTGTTTTGCAGAATGAGTGGCCCACTGAATTCTGATTTTGATCGAAGCAACATTTCTGAAAGCAATTAATCTTTCTAAATTATCGTCACCTCTTCTTTATGTATTGATTTTTTTGGTATCAGGAGAAATGTTAAAAAGTTACATTTTATGGAACTAACTTCTTATGCTGAAAGTATTCACATTATCTATTAGTGTTTTATACAGTCGATTTGTGTATAAAAATTATAGATACTATTATGTAAAAATATTTTTATGTCAAGAAAAACCATCTAATAATAGATAAATCGTTTTTTATCTATTTATGAAGTTGTTTATTTTACCTGGTACTATTGTAATTTGTTAAACAATGCATGTAAGAGCATACCTGACCTCGCACATCTGCTCAAGGTCAGATTAATATTCTAAAAATATTTGGATTACCGATTCAACAGGAGTTACAAATAATCTGTCATACCTATTAAGCTACTTTATTTTAATACGAGGATTTTTTAATTGAATGTCAGGTGTTAACTGTCTGTAAGGTGTATTAGATTTTGGATCTTTTTATAAAAATTATTATTCTTAATATACTGGCAAAATTCAAGATGATTTCTATAGTGTATTTTTATGTATGAGAGAGTAATAAAACAATAAATTATGTATGCAAATCCCTAAACTGTTGATACGGGTGACTCAATGAAAAACAGATATTTGTCAACAAGTTTACAGAAGTATATAGGAAAACAATTTTAAATTGAGTATGACCACCAGGTATAAAGGTTGGAGCAGAATAGAATACAATACTTGTGAGGGTTACTAATCCCTAAATAAGGTTGCCAGTGTCGGAGTAATGGAGGTTAACAGGTACTAATGAATTTGCAAGAAATGTAAGATGTTTATTCTATTGGTTATATATAACCAATAAAAGTTTAATTCTTTAGATAAAATAAAAACGTTTTATTTTATCTGAAATGAGTGCATTCCACGAAGTAAGGGTTTCAACAATCAAACATTTAATTCTTTAATTCCAGGAATCTACGACAGTAATTGACTAGATAATTACCTTCTAAACTTATTCCACAGAAAATGTGATAGTGGGTTTTTCCATTTTGTAGGAAGGTCCAAGTGGCGTATTCAAAATTCTTAACAGTTCGCTAAAAGTAGGTACTTCAGTTGCAAGGTGCAGTTTACTGTGTATACTAGTGTTATGGAAAATTTGGAAGTGCCGTGTAATAAACGCCGAAAAATTGGTCCTTTAACAGTTAATGAAAAAACATTAATATTTAATTGTTTTAAATCATTTACAGACAAACGTTTATGTGAAAGTGTTGATGAGACCGTTGAGTTAGTTAACAGTACACTTGGTGTTGGGAAATCTACGATTTACAGAGTTATTAAAGAAGAGAAATGTGGTAGTTTTCAAATGCCACGTAATGCTCCAAGGAAACCAAAATTTTAAATAGAATATCATTTTAAAGAAGGACTTCGAGGGAAAGTGCATGAATTCTTCTTTAGACAAGAATTTCCAACATTGGATAAAGTTCTTGTCTCAGTTCGAGATGATAAGGATTACCCAGAAATGAGTCGAAGTACGTTATGGAAACTTTTAAAAGAAATAGGCTTCCGCTGGAAAAAGAATCCCAGAAAGTCTATTTTATTAGAAAGAAGCGATATTGTCATATGGAGAAGACATTTTCTAAGAACCATAAAGGAAATGAGAAACCAAAATAGAAAAATATTTTATCTTGATGAAACATGGATCAACGAGGGTCATACACCAAATAAATTTTGGCAGGATGAAACTGTTACAAGTCAAAGGCACGCTTTTGTGAATAACTTATCTACTGGTTTAAACCCACCATCAGGAAAGGGACGCAGGCTGATAATAGTACACATTGGCAGTTCAGACGGTTTTGTTGAAGGTGGTTTATTAGCTTTTGAATCAACTCGTACCGGTGACTACCATGAAGACATGAACGCTGATGTCTTTCAAGAATGGTTCGAACAAATGATAGATCTTCTTCCTAAGAACTGTGTAATAGTAATGGATAATGCAAGTTATCACTCCATACTTATAGAAGGACTGCCCACAACCAAGTGGTTAAAAAAAGACTTGCAGAATTGGCTGAGTTCAAAAAATATTACGTACCATCCCTGATCTATAAGAAAGGAACTTTATTCGTTGTGTGCCCTTTATAAAGAAAAATTTAAAAAATACGAAATTGATGAAATTGCCAAAAATCGTGGAATGACAGTACTTAGATCCCCACCATATCATTGTGAATTAAACCCGATTGAACTGGTATGGGCACAGATAAAGAGTGAAGTTTCAAGAAAAAATACCACTTTTAAAATTCATGATGTTAAACAGTTGTTTTTGGAGGCCGTAAATAATGTAAAACCTGAAAACTGGGAAAAGGCAGTAAATCACACTATTAAAGAAGAGGAAAAAATGTGGAAGCTGGACAATATTACTGATAAAATGATCGAGCCAGTTATTATAAATCTTGGTTCTGAAAGTTCATCTTCTGAATCTAATTTGGATTTGTAACAAGTAGCTGTAAGTTTTATATTAATATTTTTATTCATCTATTTAACATACCTTAGACGGTTTTAAAAACTCTTTTTCTCTTTTGTAATTTTTAAAAATTAAAAAAAATGTGAATTTTTTAAAACCCTTTTTAATGTAGGCCAGTCAGTTCTAATATAGTGTGTGATAAAAGAGGTCACTTTTGTTTACATACACATAACAATTTATAACACTGAAATAATTCATTTATTTTTTACAATTATTCAAAGTAATTTTTCAATTAATCTTGAGCACGCCCATGGAGTGGTCGGAGATACCAGTTAAAATTATGCTAATTACTCTCTCGTTCATAAAAATAAACTATAGTACATAAAATTCAAGAGTTGTTGGAGTTAATGTAATACATACATACCTGTCATGGAAAATGTCTAATATAATTAGTATTGTTTTAGTATTCTTGTCATATTCTTCTCTCTGTGCCCCTACAACTCAAATTAGATCTTGATCTTCTGTAATTTCTACCTATTTATGCTATACATAGTACCACTAGTTTCTAATTTCTGGCAGCTAACAGATTTTGTGTCTCATATGTCATTTTATTCTTACATCTCTTTTGGTGGTCTTCTTTTTGGGCCTTTGTCCTGCGTTTTACTGTTTTGATTACGTACAATATGTCGTCGTTCATCAAAAAACGCATCCAAATCTCTGAAGTCTATAATTTGTTTTCTAGAGACAACGAAATTATTGTTTTATAGGAATTTTCTATGTTTTTAGGGGACCAACATCAAATTAAGCGTAGTTACTGATGAAGAAGAATTCAGTAAAGGCTATCCATTGTTCGCAGCTGTTAATAGAGCTGCCAGTGTTAATGCCAGGCATAAGGGGAGAATTATTTATTTGGAATACAATCCACCGCAGGCTGTCAAGGAAACGTTATATATTATAGGAAAAGGTTAGTATCTAATGATATGTAAATTCACATACTGGTATGTGAACATACTGATATGAACAACAGGTATAGTTTGGGGCTCAGTTTTCCAGTATATTAATTTGTGTTTTGTTATGCAGTTAAATCAAACATTCTAAGAACACCTGCAACAGACAATAATTGTTTACTTTTATTTTCTGTTTTTTATGTAATTTTGAAATATACACTTGGGTTATGACATCGTTGTTACAAATAACACTCCAATTCTTGGTTCTGTTTTAACTTTAATTAAACGTATTCCAGAGAATCTAGTGAAGATGCCGAGGGCGAAGAATAGCAAAAGACTAAATAGAATAATTCGGAAAAAAGTAATCGGGGCAAGGTAATAATAATTAGAGACAAAATGCTTCGAACTAGAAGAATTGTAACAATGGCCGTTGCGTTTAATTTACATAAAAAGGTAAAAGAGTTCACAACGGCTAATACTAGAATAACCTTGCAAACCATACTGAACACGGTGGCAAACAGCTAGAATCAACCGAAGATAAACTAAAATGATGGTAAAACTATATCAAAATAAAATAAAAAGACAGTTAAGATTTAATTTCACGTATAGTGCCTCTCTCGATTCATCAGAGCGACTGGTACAGAAGCTCTAAGTTTGGTTGCATCAACCAAGAAATCTTCGTACTTCTACTTTATTGTTTTGTATATCAAAATACTTTTTAACGACGTACGACAATATTCGAAAATAACAACGAAGGACCAGAACTTCTGTAAACCGAAATTCAAAATGCCATCAAACAACTCAAAACAAATAAGAGCCCAGCTCAAGATGGGATATATCCTTCTTCTTTTCAGTGTACCCTTTTCTTTTGGATGATATTTTGAGCCATTGGGCCAGGAATTATGTTTTGCTCCTATCAATATATTTCACTAAATTTAGCTTTCGATGATTAACCGAAGTATTTCATATCTACCGTTTGTATTAGGTGTTTGCATTGGCAGCTCCTTGTTTTTCTGCATTCTGTTAAGAACTTCGGAGTTTTTATTTTTCGTCCAGGAAATGCCTGGTATTCTTCTCTAAAGGTATATACAGAAACGTTAAAATTAAAACATCGAAATATTCCTCATTATATTCAATCGCATTTATGATATAGGAAGAAGACTCAATATCCATTACACTATTGAAAAAGCCAAACCTCGAAGAACGCTGCAACTAGTTTCGTCTGATATGGATATTCATGTAAAAAGTCCTATTAAAAGTCTTTCCAATTCCATCAATACACTAAGAGACAATAAAGGTCGTATGATAATCGACGATAAAGAAGTAACTGAAGAATGGAAAGAGTATTTTAGGGACCTTCTAAACATCATACAGGAAAACCAGCACAAAGAAGAGAATATCACAGCGGACATGCCCGTCAAAAATCCCTCCTTTGAAGAAACCCAAAAGGTTGAATAGGCTTAAATAAGTTGAAAAATCACAGCGCCGGTTACGGACGAGATCCCAGCAGAACTTCTGAAATATGGGGGAGACGCACTACATCGCCAAATCCACCAGCTAATAACGCACATATGGTTAGAAGAAAGGATATCAGCACCATGGAAGGAAAACATAATAAACATCCACAAAAAAGGGGACAAAACAAAATGCACGAATTATAGAGGAATTTCACTCTTAAACACGGCATATAAAACTCTCAAACATCATTCTTAGTAGACTAATCCCTTATGCTGAAAATGCCCTGGGCGAATATCAAACCGGTTTTAGGGCAAACAAAGATCAACTATTCACGCTGACACAACTTCTAGAAAATGGATGGGAGTATAGCAGACCCATACACAATCTTTTCGACAACAGACCAACAGACTTTCGAAAGGCATATGATAGCGTACAAAGAAAATTGCAGGCATATGATAGCGATGGCAGTAAAAAGAGAAGTCAAACAAGAAGATCCATTCGCAACTATTATGTATCCTACTAATAGTCGTATACTTTCAACTAAGAAATTGTTCAGTATACATATCAACCGATAATATCAACTGAATTTACCTGAAAAAACCTTAGATTAGGCAGAGGATCATATAATTCATATTTCAGTTTTGCGTATATGTTTTTACTGAAATTGTTCCACACAGAGGATCATTAAGTATATCAGTTGTAATAATAATGTTGATTTTATCTTTATTTTTCCATAGTTTAACTATTTATGACATTTAATACCTGTGTATTTGCTTTTGTTTGCAAAATATTTAGTCTTCAATACTCCAGACAATATGATTTTTTTATTGAATTGGCAATACTGCACAGAAATCAATATGTGCAGTAAATACTTAACGTTTATTTTAAAAATCCCTTGTAATCAGCGACCAGCGTATCGTCCTGTGGCGAAGGCGATAAAAATTTAATGACTTTCGTCTGAGAATGTAAGGGTATCGAATGCCATATATTATAAGAATATATTCAATGTTCTATAGCAATAGTTAGGGTTAGTTAGTCAAATTTGTATCACCGAGCGAAACTGAATTAAATAAAACTTTTAAAGTCACATTTGTGTATTTTAATACAAAAGTAATTTTTGTAATAGAAATTTAATTTTGTATTTTTTCGAACCAGGAGTCTCTTGCGAAAAGTAATCGTAGGACATTCCAAACGTAATACAATACGTAACTAAAAGTGTTTTAGTTACATATGAGTATAATATTGATTTAAAAACTGATGAAAGTATCCTAACCAGCTAAATTATTTACATAATTTTTATTGATTTGGACGTAATGGTAATTCATAATATTTTAAACGCAATAAAAGTTATCAAACTTTTATTTTACAAATAAACTATTTATAGGCAACATGTAATACAGCAAATGGATCGCTGTGTTGTCTATAATTAAATCTACACAGATATACTCTAGGTAGTATTAAATCCATCGAGCAAAAAGACTTGAATCACAATTAATTGTAATGAAAATTGTAGTTTTTTCATTACAAAATACCGAACAAACCGTCAACACAGTAAGTCAATTTCAGTAGAACTGACTGCTACTATGAGAATATTTGATGTTGTCTTGATACAAGAGCTGTGGGTATACCAGAGCTAAATAAAAGATATTTTGTAGAGCTTATGTACAGCAGCTTGTATTCTGACGTTCTATATATTTATATATAATAGTGATTTTAAGACATTGCAAGATGTACAATAAGCTACTTAGCCAAAAAGTACCAACCGGTGTCAGAGATGCCAGAGAAAACATCTTGTAAGATATACACAGGTCTAGACAAGCTGTATTTATACGTAGTTCTATCACAAGCCATTAACGGTTAAAAATGAACCTCATAATACATATATCGAAGTATATTCAAGCCAAACGAGCCATGAAACAGAGTAGGTGTTAGTAACATAAATAAAATATCTTCTATATAGGTAGTTTTGTTCTACTGTATATTTTGTATCATACATCTTACCAAAAACATTTGTTCCTATACTCAAAAAATATTGTATCTTTTATCTTTAACTAAAACTTATTTTGTAGGAGTAACAATGGATACTGGTGGTGTGGACGTAAAAATCGGCGGAGCTATGAACGGAATGTCGCGTGATAAGTGTGGAGCAGCTGCAACAGCTGGTTTTATGACAGCGGTGCATCTTCTTCAGCCCAAACATCTTAAAGTGGTTGCTGCTTTAAGTATGGTACGGAACAGTATAGGATCTAATGGATACACTACTGACGAAGTTATCACTGCCAGATCGGGGGCTAGAGTCCGAGTCATAAACACAGATGCTGAAGGTAGAATGATAATGGCTGACGTATTGTGCAAGGTAAGATTTCTTAGGTGACCGGATTAAACCACTTCAAAATGCAGATAGTCAAATAATTCTGGTTATCTTGTAGACGATATTGCCCAACAGTGTACTGATATTCTTGTTTTGGTATTATTTGTAATTCATATCCTGGTCGCCGTACTTTATTTATTTGAACGTAAAACTGTGAAACGGGTCGTAGGATTTTTCAAGTTATCTGTTAAATGCGATGTTTAAAAAAAGTCATAGATCGAGAGAGATATATATTGTATCTCCTTGTGACCAAAAATAAACAAAAAGTGATGACAAAAGCATTAAAGTACTTCGTCGACGCTCTAAATGTATTGCACTATAATTATAGTCCGTCTAGAAAGTATCCGGAATTTTCTATTTTTCCCAATTTTAATAGATTTCCTTTTTGTAACATTTTAAGACAAAAGTAATGCATCAAGTAGGTTGTACCAATAGTAGGTTATGGACAAAATCGCATGACAACACCATCTGTCAAATATTGTTGTTTGTAAACAGACTTAAGATTTGTGAAATAATGTCGCAAGTAGAAAAAGAAAAGTGGTGGAATATTTGTATAGAAAGGGTGTCCGAAACGTTAAAAAATTAGTGCAATTGACTGAACTGGGAAAAAGTGCAGTGTATGAGACAATAAAGAGAATAAAAAATGGCATAGAGGTCTAGGGTTTCGAAAATTAGCGAACAGATTTGGAAATATCAAAAAGCAAGGCTACATATCAAGGAATCCAAAAAAAATCCATTCAATGACACCTCTGCAAAAGCAACGAAGAATAGATTTTTGTCAACGTTTTCGAGAAGATAATTTTAATAATATGTTTATATCTGATGAAAGTTTTTTCCAGCTTGGTGCAAATCATCTAAAAGTCCTATCAAGAGAAAATGTTATCGTTCAAATTTCCAAATTTGCCACTAAACTAATGGTTTGAGGAGCAATATCTCAGCGTGGTGCTACACCTCTCTTTAAAGTTAGTGGTACTGTTGATAGTGCGAAATATTGTGACATCCTAAATGGTTTTCTTCTTGAAACGGCTCATGTTTTATATCCAGATGGGTGACATTTTCAGCAAGGTAATGCAAGATGCTATACTTCTGCTTATACTCAAGCTTGGATGCAAGAACACGAAGTGGCAACAATTCCGTGGCCAGCAGCATCTCCAGATCTTAGCCCCATTGAAAACACATGGGGACTGATGAAGATTAAAGTGGAACGAGCAGAGCCACGAGATAAAGAAAGTTTGATTCGGTCAGTTTTACAGGCATGGAACACCATTACCGAAAATTATGGCTTTGACCTAGTTTCGGGTGTACCTGGACGTTTAGTTAAGTGTTTAGATTTACATGGAGGTTGTATAAGTAAATGAGATGAATTATTTGTTGAAATTTTATATTTCAAGTGATAGAAATAAATACCGTAAAATTAAAATTCTGCTTTCTTTTTTCCGGATACTTTCTAGACGGACTATACATTTACATACCTACGTTTTAAGCAACTAGTTATTTTGATTGCATCAATTGTTCAGTTAAATTTCTTTCGATTAATCGTTCTTCTAATGCTTTTTATCTAGGATTTGTAGATGGGGACCTTTTCGATTTTCTATTGGTATCGATTTCGTTATCTGTTTGAGTATTTCCCAGTGATATGGAAGGGAAGGGCTCACTTCCATATCACTGGTATTTCCTGAACTTATCGTATATACCTAACCTAGATATGCCCGACTTTATTCTTTTTTGGAACTTTTATTCGATTTGTATTTAAAAGTGATTATTTCATAGTACCTACTTATCCTAAAATATATAGTAAATTAGGTAAGTATTCTGTATGTAGAACTTCTAAAAAATAGATCTAAATATAATAATCACGTTATTTGTGATGTCCTGTTAACAATGGGAAGATACAATAACAAAATTACAATTAAACTGTAAACTTCGTCATCATCTTGGTGCTACAGCCCTTACAGGGCCTCGACCTTCTCAAACTTTCTACGCCATTCTATTCTGTCCCTTGCTTACATTTTCCAGTTGCTGACACCGATCTTCTCGGCATCTTGTGGTACCCTGTCCATCCACCTCAGCTTTGGTCTACCCAGTCTTCTCATTTCCACTGGTTGCGCTGTTAGAATCTTGTTAGATTAAGGGGCCGAGCTACATGTCCTGCCCACTGCAAGCTTCTTCTTCTTCTCGTGCTATCTCCGCTACGAAGGTTGGCTATCATCATGGCAATTTTGACCCTGGAGGCTGCCGCTCGGAACAATTGTATGGAAGTGCAAGCAAACCACTCCCTGAGGTTTCTCAACCATGACATTCTTCTCCTACCTATGCTGCGCCTACCTTCAATCTTTCCTTGCATAATTAGTTGTAACAGTTGATATTTATTCCCACGTGTAATATGTCCCAGGTATTGTAGTTTCCTCATTTTAACACTCAATACGACCTCCTTTTGTTTGTTCATCCTGTCTAATACAACTTGGTTAGTTATCTTATCCTTCCAGGAGATTTTTAACATTCTTCGGTACGCCCACATCTCAAATGCCTCCAGCTTACCCATACATTGCTTATTTAGTGTCCACGCCTCCACCCCATATAACAGGACCGAGAAAACATAACATTTAAGCATTCGTATTTTCAGCTTTAGGCTTAGGTTTCGGCTACACAACATTTGTTTCATATTGTTAAAGGCACTGCGGGCTTTCTCTATTCTTATTCTTATTTCTCTGGTGTATTCGTTTGACTCGTTAATATTTGTTCCGAGGTAATTGTAATTTTGTACTCGTTCAATGAGATTCTGTCCTACATGTAAGTTGATATTATTGATACGTTTCTTTGTAATTATCATGAATTTGGTCTTCTTTGTATTCTGTGACAGACCAAATTCTTCACTTGCTTCTACCACTTTGTTTAGTAATCTCTGTAGGTCGTCAATATTTTCTGCTATGAGCGCGGTATCATCAGCATATCGGATATTGCAAATGGGGTGACCGTTGATCTTTACTCCGGCTTTTTCGTTCATAAGCTTTTTAATAACTTCTTCCGCGTAGACATTGAACAAGGTTGGAGACAACACACAGCCCTGCCGAACACCTCTTTTGATCTGTATTCTATCTGATATCGAGCTGTTAATTCGTACTGTAGCTTCTTGTTTGTAGTATAGATTCCTTATCACTCGCATGTCCCTTGTATCAATATTTTTATTTTCCAGTATTTGCATCAGTGGCCTATGTTTTACTGTATCAAATGCTTTGTTATAGTCTAGGAAACACACAAATATGTCCTGATTTACGTCTAAGCATCGTTGTGTTAGAACATTAAAAGCAAACAGTGCCTCTTCTAGTTCCTAGTCCGTCTCTAAAGCCAAATTGAGAGGGTCCGATGTCAACTTCCAATTTTTTATATATTCTCCGATGAATGATTTTTAAGAAGACCTTTAATATATGACACATGAGACTGATGGTGCGATGTTCCGAGCATTGTCTCGCATTAGACTTTTTGGGTATGGCTATTATTGTTGTTACTAGCCATTCATTAGGTATGATACCAGATTTGTAAATGCTGTTAAATAGTTCCACGATCTTTATTAAGTTGTTGCCTTTGAGAAAGTTGTCTATTGGATAGTTCATCTGGGCCTGTAGCCTTCCCCGACCTCATTTCTTTAATCGTGTATTCCACTTCATCTCTTGTTATTTCTGGTCCTGTGTCACTGTTTATATTCGTTATTACATTGTCTCTTTGATCTTTAAACAGTTGTTATATGTACTGTTTCCAGACTCTTAATTTTTCTTCTGTGTCCATAATAATGTTTCCACTCTCGTCTACTAATATGTTGTGTCTGTTACTTTGTCTCCTCGTCAACTCTTTGATCTTCCGATGTGCATTAAAGCTGTCCGTACCCCTTTTTTCCCCGTACCAGTTTTCTTTAGCTGTGCGTATTTTTAGACGAATTTCTTTTTGTATCTCTTTATAGTTCTGGTTCTTTTTGTTTTTCTGTTTTCTTTTTTCATCTATTAAGTTCAGTATCTCATCTATCATCCATTTCTTTTTTATATTTTTTACTTTTATGGAGGTGACTTATGCTTGGTTTCATTAACGCTGTTTTAATGTCTGTCCAATTCTCATTGATGTTAACTTTTGTGTTGTCTTTTATGGGTTGTATCTTTGTAACTGCTTCATCAATTTCATGTATCATCTGTTCTTTACTTTGGTTTTCGTAATTTGTTGATATCAACTGCTTTTTTGGGGGTTGTGCTATTAATTTTCTTTAGTTTTATTTTCATTCTTGCAACTAGTGGATTATGATTAGATATATATCTAGCACCAGGTATGTCTTAATTGACATTATGCTGTATCTGTATCTTTCATTGATTAGTAGATAAATCTATTTGGTTTCTCACTATGTGATGTTCTGTGTCTTGTGGAGATCTCCATGTGTATAAACGTCTGTTGGGTAGTTCGAAAAAGGGTATTTGTAATTTCCATTTCTGTTTTCGTGGCAAAATTGTACCATTCTTTCACCAGACTCGTTTCACCAGACCACTGCAGGCGGTTTCGCTTAATTATATTGGTAATATCTTTACCACCAAACGTATGCTTGTAGATATTGTGAGAACAGAGACTATTAGTGTTCTATACAGCCTTATACGAGTTTTTTGAGACAGACGTTTGTTAGCTATGGTACTTTGATAGACCATGATAACACTGTTTGCAATTATTTATTCGCCATTTTATTTCCTCAGATGTGTTGTTATTGGGTTAACGATAACTCTTTGACTGCTTCGAAGTTTTACTCATTGGTGATTAAATATGCGTCAACATTTCCAGCTCTTGTGTTTGTGTTAGTCGCCATGAATTTGGTTTTATTTTGATTTATATGTAACCCCATTCGTTCTGCAGCTGCAACTAGCTCGGTTAGGATTTCCGCAGTTGTCGCCATGGTTCTTCTTATAATGTCCACGTCGTCTGCATATGCTAGAATTTGTACTGATCTATTCAATATT